TATATAGAAATTGTGACATTATAGAAAGAAATTTAATATAAATATAATCGGGACCAAATTTTTAAGTGATTAAATAGAAAATGTGACTATGAAGGAGGTGACTATATGGGAATGTAACTGTATTAACGTTAATACTAATGTTAATACTAATGTTTGTATGAACGTTAGTATTAACGTTCGTATAAATATTAGTATTAACATTTGTATAAACGTTGACTTGTAATAAATAAATAAAAGTTTAAAAAATTTTAAAACCTTTTAATAAAAACTTAAAAAACCTTAAAAATAAATTTTTTTTTCTTGCAAAAATTTCAACTTTGGTACGAACGAAATTTCATGAAATTTCAACTTTAGTACAAATGTTAGTGCGAACATTTGTACAGACGTTAATACGAATGTTAGTATGAACATAAGTATGAACATAAGTATGAATGTTAGTACGAATGTAAGTATGAACATTAGTATGAACATAAATACAAACGTTAGTATGAATGTTAGTACGAACGTAAGTACGAACGTTAGTATGAATGTTAGTACGAACGTAAGTACGAACGTTAGTATGAATGTTAATACAAACATTAGTACAAGTGTAAGTACAAATGTTAGTACGAACGTTAGTACGAACGTAAGTACGAACATAAGTACGAACGTTAGTACTAATGTTCATACTTACATTCGTACTAACATTCGTACTAACATTCATATTAACGTTAATACTAATGTTCGTACTAACGTTCGTACTAACATTCGTACTTATGTTTGTACTAACGTTTGTACTAACGTTTGTACTTACGTTTGTACTAACGTTCATACTAACGTTTGTACTAACGTTTGTACTAATGTTTATTTAATTTATGTAGAACGTCAATTTACTGATGGTTCTAATCACAATTTGACCCCGGAGACAGACCTCGGAGACGGACCGGAAGTGATCTGCAGTGATCTGCAGCTCGGAATTTCCTTGACATAAGGGCACCCCATGGAAGGTGGTACACGAATAACTTTATGCAGATCAACGTGATACGAGCAACGTGAATATCGTCGTAACACAATTAAAAATGAAAATTATTTATACAGGTAATCTAAACGTTACGCCAACAATTTGAGTAGGTTGTAGGTTTTTAATCGGTCATGACCATAACCGTTGCCATCCCTAGTTCGGACATTTTGCTTAGTACTCCTGACGTAGGTTAGCTAGTATGTTTTTGAGATATAGCGTCCCGGTGAATTTCCCTTCCGATTAAAATTAGCAGTTATTATTGTTGTTGATACGTAGCCTTATTGGTGCTAAATTATGTTACTGTTGATATATCAGCTAGATAACAAAAAAGTATTTAATTCCCTGTTAAAATATGATGTATAATCCTTAAATATAGTTATAAATCCAGCTTTAAATGTGTCTAATAAAGTGAAGAATAATATAATGTGCAAGGGTTTGTTAATAAGTTATTTACATTGTATTAAATCTATTGATTTATCATTAATCATCAATCATACTTGGACGATGTAAATTAGTCAATCATATAAATATTTTCCTACGTATGATACATGGTATATGCTGGCAAGTGCTAAAAACATTGTGGCACTGGCACCGGCAGGCACTTGACACTAGTATTTCTGCCCGACATAGTGCCAACAGTGCCAGGCATGTTTATTAGCGGAACCCTATTCAACAGTATAAATTTATAGGTTTTCATTTTAAAAACTGGGCTATCATGTCTGAAGCAACTAAATATGCAGATATGTTGTGTAACTACGTAAAGGCTTCGATATGATGCAGTAGAAACTGTTTCGGCTTATGCCGTAACCAGTTGCGGCATAAGCCGTAGCCGTTTTTATTGCATCTCTACGCAGGACTAAATTTGCTTATCGTAAAAAAATTTTACAAGGTGCGTTGATCGCACTATTAAAATAATAAGAACCTTCTAAAACTGATTCTGTAAAACCGATAACCTGTTAAACCTGATAAACAAAATTCATCCGTAGTTGTAATGTTTCAAATCCGATTACTATAGAGGTTTCTCTTTGACCAATGACATTTAGCGCAGTTCACCACGTGCTGCGAAGTAGCTATATTAAACATCTATTGCCTATAGCGGTGGTACATAATAGTAACAGTAATAATTTTAACTTTTTTAAAAAAAATGATAAACTTGCCAAACGAATGCCTCTTCGAAATATTAAATAACCTTAAATACCCAAAGAAAATGACAAAAAAAAAATAAAAACAAAAGAAACATCAAAAGACAATGGAAGAAGCACCAATGAATGACGGAAAAAGCACCAAAAGGATGATGAAAGAAGTACAAAAAAGGTGACGAAAAAAGCATCGAAAGAATGATAAAAAAGGCATCAAAAAAACGTCAAAATGGCACTAAATGAATGATGAAAAGGCTTCAAAATAAAAACTAAAAAAACACCAAAAGAACATTAAAAGAAGCAGTGAAAAAACATCGAAAAAGAAACTAAAAGAACGACAAAAAAAGCACTGAAAGAACGACATAAAAAGCATTGAAAGAACATATACAAAACATCAAAAAAAGAACATAAAATATACCTAAAGAAACAGCATAAAGGGCACCAAAAGAACATCATAAAAGTCACCGAAAGAACGATGTAAAAAGCACCAAAAGAACAATAAAAGAATGACAAAAAAAATATAAACAAAAAAATGTAAACAAATGATGTTTAGTAATAACAATAGAATATCAATTTACTGACAGTTTAGGAAAAATCAGGCACCAGAGACAGACTGGAAATGATCTGTAGCTCAGAATTTTCTTGACATACTATGAGGTTCTACATAGATTGTAACATCTAACACATAGAGAATATATTTAAGATTAATGAAACTTGAATTTTTTCAAATCTTTTAGATTCTATTAACCATATACTTTCATATAGAATTATCTTTCATATTAAGCTCAATCTGTAAATCTAGATTTTGTCTTGCCATTACTTTATAAATAGTTTTTTTTTAGTAGCTTAAGATATTGTAAAATAAAAACAAATGACTGGAACTTCCAAAGATCGTTGTAGAAGATTTAATCGCAAATGTTAGCAATATTACTGTAATAAATTACAACAGACAAAATCATACTAATGATGATGATGCATTTACAGTAGAAGAAGAATGGAAATCCAGAAGAGATGTTGCAAAACAAAGAAACAAAGCTAAAGTATTACAAGAACAACTCACATAAAAAAGGAAAGAAAGAGCCAACCCTACAGATTATGATAACTTTGATTAGTCGAGTGAACAGATAATTATGCAGTATAAAATTGTTAATATTTTAACTTCTTCTATATGTTTCTTTAATAGCATTTTTAAAGATAAAGTTACTATATAAAGTGAATTATTTGCTTTTGATTCTTCTGTTATAGTTTTTTTTTATTTTATTAAAAGCACATATATCCATAGTTTTCGCATAAAGTCACCTATCATACTTTAGAAAATATAGATCATCAATATCAAAATTATAGTACTCTGATGTGATTTGATAAAAAAAATAAGTATATTTTTATGAATTTTTGTTTTACTTCTATCTTCTCTTCAAGAATTATCACAATTTTTGAATATACTTTTTATTGCATTAAATTTTTCTATATATTTATTTAAGCAAAAATAAAATATATAATTTTGTATTAGTTTTTACTTCAATAGATACTAAAATTGATAATAATATAATAAGAGTAAACAATATTTATAGCTTTCAAATCTATAGTGAAATATATTATAATATAAACTTTATATATCCTAGTTAAGCTTACTCTAAATTTGCTTAAATTTATATATATAGTGCTAAGCATGAATTGCAAAATAGAATAAATTAAAAATTTAGCTTAATTTTTTAATTTTTATTAATCTTTAGCAAATAGTATATAAATAAATTTTTATAGCAATATTTTTAGTCATGTTAGCAATATACTAACCTCTAATCTAGCTACAAATTTAAGAATAGTAATTACTGATAATAAAACAACTAAACTTAAAAAATATAATATGCTATCTGTAGTTAAAGTTGCTATTATTATAGTTAGAGATATATACAGTATATCAATAAAATTAGTTTTTAAAAAAGCTTATTTTGTTACTTTAAAATAAATTAAAATTTTTATATAAAGGGTTTAAGTCTTGTAGCTTATTAGTTAAGTTTTCAAATCTTACAAACTAGGTTGATAGTTCAATTTAAGCTAAAAGCAAAAAACAAAATATTTACTTCTATAATCAAAAGAAGCTACAATTAAATACAGAACTCTGTAAAAAGTTCAAATACAAGTATAAGATCAAAAATAAAAATTCTTAAAAAGAAATTATTATTGTAAAGTGCAAGTACTATATGTAATAGCAGTATTACAAAAGGTTTATTATATAGCATATAAGTAAGTCTTTGACTTAAAGTACAAACAACTTTATACTTAAAAGACTTTAATAAAGATTTTGTTTAAAAAACTAATAGTATAACAGAACTAAAGTAGTAGTAAATACAATAAAGATCTGTAGCAAAAGATTAGTCTAGCTAGAATCAAAAACATTTTTAGTATTCTAGAATAATAATGCTTTAGGTAAAAATCTAAAATTATATAGTGATAAATTAGTAAATCTTGTATATCTAAAAGTATTAATAGACTTTAGCTATATTTATATAGAAAATATACAGTATATATATAGCTATAATAGGGTGTGGCAACTTAGTAAAGTGGTCAAGTTGTCACACCCCCAAGCGGTTGAGTATTGGTTCAATTCCCACAGAGAGCGAAAATTGGATTTTAAGAAAAACGGAATTCGGTAACTAACGCTGTGGCCAGAAAAACTCGAGACTCTGTAACTGTAGTTGTACCAATTACGGTTTGCTGGAAACTGGAAGATCTCAAGGCATTTGTGTAATATAAGGAGTTACACAAAGGCATACAAGCTGGTTTAGTTAGTGCAAACCCAAGATAAGTTCTTCGGAATCGCAAAAAGCCACAGGACTGATACAGCGATGGGGTACTTGCTGGAAAGTTCTGAATAGAGAGGTAGCATGGATCTTTGATGGTACTACATACAGATTGATACTTGAAGAACCAGTAAAAACTGAACAGGACCAAAGTGCTTGGCAAAGCACTCCACCAACTAGGCCACCGAAGAGTAGCAAGAGAAAACGGACCCAACCATGGGGACCAGAGGCAGATTACAGCCCTTCCGGGCCATCTGAATTGGTAGTTTGGGATAGCTAGGGATACTAGTAAATAGTCTGTAAGTATGTACCAAGGTTTGGGTGAACTCTATAAGGACAGAAGTAGGTTGTGTAGCAGCGATCAGGAAACTGGGCTACAAGTGGTGGGCTTCGGTCCATGCGTATCAACTGAAGCCTAGATCAGCTGGATTGTAGGTACGGAAGGCTCTAGCAGGTTTACTTCGAGAATAAAATTGTTCTAAGATAGTTACTTAAAATGGTATTGTAGTGAGATTATATATATAGAAATATATATACAACGGATATAGATCATCTAGTTGTAAAAATAGTCTATATAATAATAAAAGTACTTGACCGAAGAGGTCACCTTAATACCAAAAATATATATATATATATATATAGCTATAATGATATAAAAATCTACTATAGCAAAGAATATATTAAAGAATAAGCCAGTATTATTAGCTATATAAAATAACAAGTAAAA